ACTATTATCTTATTCTTTTCCCCTCTTGAACTATAATAATTTCAGTAGAAATTGGCATAGGACTTAGATATTATTTTTATATTTTTCTTATATTTGTTTAATTATCTCTCCCAACCCTTGTTCACATTTATTCGCTAATTACCCTATTAGTAAAAAATATGTAACAATATATACTATTTTTATTGATTTGTTGTTTTGTTACTATTTTTGAAGATTTTATATTTTCTACTATTTTTGAAAGATTCATTAATTATGAAATTATTAAAAATAAATATAACAGTACTTTAAAAATATTATTCAACAAATCAAATCTTTCTGATAGATTAGTCTAATGAATTATGACTTTATAAGATTACATCTTCAATATTGAACATTATAAAAAATGCTTATATTTAAATGTAGATACACTCTCTTGAAATTACAAATCAGATTCAATGTAGATTAAAACACAAAAAGATAATTTAATTATTATGTAAAACAACTTGAATACTTATATTTGAAATAATTTAATCAATATTATGAACTTACTTAAATATAACTAACTTATTAACTATTTGAACACACTACAATTACCAGAAAATATAATAGTAAAAAAGCAACAAAAATTCAGAAACAAAGTAAAATATTATTTTATGAAAAATCAAACACTTCATAAATATAATAATAAAGATCTAGAACAACTCTTAAAAGTTATTAAAATAATTGAAATAGAAGAAAATATTATTCAATAAATATTCAGCAATTTATATTGGACACTTTAATATTGAAGCAATATATTATAAAATTATTATTGGCTAAACTTATATAAAGATATCAAAAATTATATTAAAGCTTGTGATATCTGTCAAAGAAAAGAAAAATTAAGAAAGAATAATCTATTATATCCAATTGAAACAAAATCACCATTTGAGAAAATTGAAATTGATCTAGTAGGATCATTATCACTCATCTCCAACAATAACAGATATATAATAGTTGCTATTAACTATAAAACAAAATGAGCAGAAGCAAGAGCAATTCCTGATGCCACTTCAAGAATAATAATACTATTTCTATATGAAAATATTATTTGTAGAATGAATTTTCAAAAGAATTAATTTCAGATAGAGAAACAATCTTTGTCAATGAATTAATTAGAACATTATGCAAAACTTATTAGATCAAATATCATCTTGTAACACTATACCATCCACAACTAATGGATTAGTTGAATGTCTAAATAGAATATTATATGAATTATTAGCAAAACTTGTATAATTACACAAAAATGAATGGATTTTTTTATTTGCCTTTAGTATTATTCACTTATAGAAGTTTACACCATTTTACTTGATCTATAAAAGACAAGCAATAATATCAATAAATCTAAAATTACAACCAATAGATGATGATGATGAAGTAACAACAAATAAAATCATCAAACAAGCTTGAATTATAATGGATAAACTAGAAATTGACAAAACATTAGCTCATCAAAATATACAAAAATCTCAACAAAAACAAAAAAATCATATCAACAAGATAAAAATGCACAAACATTTTTTATTGGAGATAAAATCTTAATAAAGAGGATGGAAATGCAGCATTAGCATCATGAAAAATTTCACAAAAATGGAAAGGACCATTTTATATTCATGAAAAACTTGATAAAGAAGCATATTGACTAAGAACAATAAATGGAAAACTTTTGAAAAATCCCTCACATGACAATGTGGGTATTACAATTAAAGGTTGATTTTAAGGTTAGGATTAGAGTGGAGGACAAAGTTATATGTAAAATTGTCTTCCCAACATTTTTTAAGCATCCGTTTTTCGTGTTTTTTCATTTTTTCGTTTGCGCTTCGGATTTGATTTGCCGGACTGATTAAAAAATTTTCGCATCCTTATTGGTTTGTGTTTCGGACGGATCACCGAAGGTACACCGCTTTAACGCACCCCTAAAAGTGGATATCTTATGCCGCACAAACACAAACGGAGATGTACATGTATTACATGTACAGTCGACTCTCTATAACGAACGAACTCTGGATATAACGAACCTTAAATTTTTAAATTTCATATTAATTCGTTATAGAAAGAGTAGTGAGCTCTATAGAAAACTTAGTGATTTTATACAACGAACTTTTTTTACTAACAGAACCATCAGTTCGTTATAGACTGTATTACGGTATTATTTTATCAGTGCTATTTTATCAGTACTATCGCTGTGAGAGCAAAAAGATAAAATAGCTTTTTTTTCGACGATATCAAAAAATGTCATCTTCGTCTTCGTTTAACGCAAATAAATGGTTAGAAACCGCGATATCAGAAAATCAAATAAAATTTTTTGATTATAAAGGGTTTATTGATATCAATGTAATCGGACATGGAGCGTTCGGCGAAGTATATAAATCAAAATTGAAAAAAGATGGAAGAACATTCGCTATGAAATGCCTTTACATAAAAAAAGGACAAAGCAAAGAGAATTCTTGTATACAATTTATTAAAGAAGTACTTAATTT